AAAAAACAAAATCAAACCCCCAAAAACCAAACAAAAAAAAAACAACCAAAACAAAAACTCAACAAAAAAAATCCTCAAAAAACAAACCAAAACAAAAAACATAAACAAAAATAAAAACAAAAAACTCCAAAAACAAAACGAAAACAACAAAAACCAAAACTAATACAACGAAAAAACAAACAAACAAAAAACCTTAAAACGATACAACAAAAAACAAACTCCAAACACAAAAACACACACACACAAAAAAAATCAAAACAAACAAAAACCCAAAATCAAAACACTCCCCCCAAAAAAACACACACACACAACAAAAACAAAAAAAAAACATATCAAATACAAAATAAAAACAACAACAACAAAATGAAATAAACAAAACAACCCACAAAAAACAAACACAAAAACAAAGCAACCCACAAAAAACAAACACAAAAACAAAGCAAAGCACAAACCACAAAAAACTAACGACACCTGAAAAAAAAAAAAACTGAAGCTAAAATAATACCAAATAATATTAAATTAAATATGCTTAAAAGCCTATAATATAATATATAAATAAAATAATTAAAATAGAGTTAAATAATACAAAAGTATATAAATATTATAAATCTAATGCATCAGAAGTACGAAAACACTGTAGACGTGTTTATTAAATAGGCAGCCGACAGCAAGGAAACTCACTAGCTTTATGAACAAAGCTATAACTCTCTCTAGATCCTATTAGCAGCTAAATAACAAATGTTATGGCAGTTTTAGATAACCCTGTACAGAAATAAATACATTTCAAGGTTCCTACCGTAGACATTGGATGATGTTGAGATGTCGGCCTTTGAATCCTCATACCTCCTTTGGTTCAGATCCCTAAAAACACACAACGCACTGAACTTAGTAATGTTCTCAATGAAGTTGTGCTTCTATAACATAAGATATACACCAGATTGTGTGTGCACTTTCACCTTCATTTCAAACATCTGTGAAGTTTCAGCACAAAATACCTCACAGATCATTTACTATGTCATGCTGTAAACAAACAAAAATAAAATCAATAAAATAATATCAGGGCCGAAGCAATGGCGCAATAGGTAGTGCTGTCGCCTCACAGTGGGTCGAGCCTCTGCTGAGTTGGCGTTTCTGTGTGGAGTTTGCATATTCTCCCTGCGTTCGCGTGGGTTTCCTCCGGGTGCTCCGGTTTCCCCCACAGTCCAAAGACATGCGCTACAGGTGAATTGGGTAAGCTAAATTTTCCGTAGTGTATGAGTGTGTGTGTGAATGTGTGTATGGATGTTTCCCAAAGATGGGTTGCGGCTGGAAGGGCATCCGCTGCGTAAAAACTTGCTGGATAAGTTGGCGGTCCCCGGATTAATAAAGGGACTAAGCCGACAAGAAAATGAATGCATGAATAAAATCAAGCTATAAAGACAACCGAAATGTCACAGATTGAAATCAAACACAGTTCTGTTGCTTTTCACAACCTATAAGACCAGTTGTATTTTAATTCTAAATTGAATTCAATCTTATGAGTGTACAGTTTTGCAAACTTTAAGTACACTCTGAAAAATATGTGTAAATTAGAGATTTTCTGTATTTTGTGATTCCTGTTTTTATTTATTCCCGTTTATTTCTGCTTTTGAATTGCATTATGGGACTTTAATATTTATTTATTTTTCTAACTGTGTTTTTATTAAAGTTTTTTATAAACATAGTATACGAATAACATTTACTTGGAATGTTTACAATCACACACACACAAACACAAAAAAGAAACAAACAAATAGAAAATAATGATTAAAATTATAATAATAAATAAATAATAGAGATACAGCGTAAAAAAGAGGGAGGGGAAGATAAATAAAAAAATAAATAAATTAATAATTAATTAAACAATATGTTATATTATATTAAGCCAATAACCAGGACAAAGACAAAGCCCCTGACAGCCTTTCAAAGATCAAGTATGTATGTTTCAATTAATGTCCAGGTCTGATGGAAAAAGTCTGACTTCAACTATGAATCTGCAGTCGTTTTCTCCAATGACCTTAATATTTCTTACAACTTTTAACCATGAAATGTTTGAAAAAGTGACTTTTATGACCATTTTTAATAGTTTAAAGTGATGTATTGTCTGTGTTGGTGTTGTATATTACAGTACAGACTAGGGTTGGGCATCTAAGCTATAATGCCGATCCGATACGCATCTCGATACAAAGAATACGATCCGATATATTAGCGATACATTTGTGACATTGGGATGCAACCAGGGGCGCAACTGCACATTTACTGATGGGTATGCGGCTTCAACTTTTGCGCGCCCCCCTTCAATCCAACTATATTTTATAACAGGCAAGTGATAAAATTTGGAAAATATTTCCATCAATAAATTAAAGATATTTTTTCATAAAGATATCAATATGCTTAAAAAAACAGTTCTCAGTTCTGAACACAACTGAAATAGTTTGAAGTATAGTAAAAGGTATAATTACATTAAGCATGTTAAGTCACAAAGAAATGCATCTCATACCACCCCAAATTTCTTAATTTAATATTCACTTACTAAATGATTATAGCACCTTGACTAGCCTTGCTTTTGGACTTTTTGTAGTACATTTGTCAAAACAAAATGAAAGAAATGGGAGTCCTAAAGGGCAAAAGAACATTGCAATTACTTCTCACATTCAGACTGAGGCAGAAGGTCTGTCTTTGCAAGAACAATTGACTGAAACTGCTAAAAGTGAAATAAAAAAGACTGTCAAATGTTTAGTGTAAAAAAAAAACAGAAACAAACAGTGTGAAATGTTCTACTTAATTGAAATGTTATAACTTTGTTTGTAGCTAAAATTAAAATAGTTTTGAGCTAAGAAGTTACCAAAAGGCCTGATGAATCAATATGATACATAATAAATTCATAATAACATGTGGTATAAAAATGGGGGGAGGGGTGAAATGATTTTTTAATTTAATAAAATACAATATTATATGCGTATAAAATGCTAAATACATTTTTTAACAAAAAATATATACATTATTAGAAACTTTTAATATGGATAATTTCAAAAATAGTTTTGGCACAATGGCGCCCCCCCCCCCCATGTGTGGCGCCCCTATGCACTGCATATACTGCATACCCCCTTTTTGCGCCACTGGATGCAACACGATACGATTCACACCCATATCACGATACAATGCGATAATTCAGCACTAACTTATTAGATCAAGTTTATGAGATGATGTAAGAAAGGATGCTGTGCCATTGAATGAGTTTGATTATTTATTAACCAAGCAAAACCAAGACTTTTTTTTTTACAAACTGGCTTTTCTCTCAGAGCCAGAGTGTCAGTTTACAGTAGAGGGCCATTTTAGAACCTATAGCACATATTATTTAAGTATTTTCAAGATAAACAGAATGTATAAGTGCAATATATATTAAAAATATATATATATATTTGCACTCTTTCAACATAAAGGTTTACCATTGCACAACAAGAATTATGATTTAACTTTTCAACTATAAAAACAAGTTTTACAAAGATATATTGTGCCACTGAATATTCAAAACTTAAGGTCGTGAACTAGCAGTGTTATGCTGCTTTGAAACATCACTGTCACTGTAAACAACAGGCTAATAAAAATATAAATAAATACAAATTAACAGGAGGAGGTGTTTAAAACCTTCGTTCTCCGTGACACTAGGCTGAATATCTTTGCAGATGAACAATGCAATAGCATTCGTTATTGGCGTAGAGCGAGCAGAACTGTTGCGCATGGAGAAAACTTTCAATGCTTTTCTCACCACTTTTGGAGCTGGTAGCTACAGTTAAAGCAGAGCAGGAAGCCGGGGATGTAGGAACACTGGAAGATGCTTCCACAACAACACCGTGGCGCCGCTTCAAGTGAGATATCAGATTAGTCGTACTGCCCGCGTATTTTACAGATGCGCGGCACTTTTTGCAAATTGCATCTGTCCTGTCAAGTCGTCCATTCTTTTTGCAGAATCCATAATGTTGCCATACTTAAGATTTAAAACTCAGTGAGGAATAAAATGTTTGTTTTGCATCTCGCGCTTTCTGAGGGCGCACCACTAGCTTCATCCGCACACCTGATACACTGAGTTGTAGTGTAAGTGTACACATCCGCAAGCCCGTTGCTAATGCATACTTTATGTAGATCGATTAAATTATGCGCCAAAAACAGGTTGACAACACTTGTTAATAAATAAAAAATACATTCTATATTAAAAATATAAGCTGTATCTTGGAAAAAACGATGCATCTCGATTTGCTTCCAAAATTTCATTCATCCTCTGCTGCTCTACCGATGCACTCGCATCGTGCACGCGCATGACTGCGCATCGATACATATCGGTTAATCTTCCCATCCCTAGTACAGAAACCTTGAAATAAACCGCCAGTACATTTACATTATTTTTACAGACTTATTATATCATTACTTATATATTATATTGTTCAAACGACTAAAATGTCAATAAAAGTCACTTTGTTAAACTGTAGAGTTGAATTTTCAACATCAAATGTGGACAGAGCAGAGATCAACATCCCATAATGCAAATCACAACCGTAAATAAACAGAAAATGAATCACAAAATATGAAAACTGTTAACTAACATTATTTTTTTCGCAGTGTATATACTTGATTTATGAAACTTCCAGCAGGACTGGGCCTTTTAGTCAGAGTACATTAATCTTTTTTCAAGCCTATCCTTTAAAAGACATTACATGGTTAAACAGAATGGCGTAAACACCTCCACCTAACGTTACTGCAACATGCTGTACTCTGATTCACATTGACAACAAGATCTGCAGGACTACACAAGAATCTGACACCCTCGTCTGACAAAAGAAAAACATACAAAGAGCACTGAGTGGAAAAAGACTCCGCCGACACAGCTTGAACACGATACTGTTCAAAGGCGTACTGGAAAACATTTCAAAACAAGGTTAGGATTGAACAGAAAAGATTAATACAGTTGAAGTCAGAATGATTCGCCCTCCTGTGAATTTAATTTCTTTTTTAAATATTTCTTATATGATGTTTGACAGAGCAAGAACTTTTTCGCAGCATGTCTGATAATATTTTTTTCTTCTGGAGAAAGTCTTATTTGTTTTATTTCGGGTAGAGTAAAAGCAGTTTTCTTAAAAGTGACGCTGCGTCTTCAGTTTCAGGCTCAGGCGCACTTTGCATTTACAGGGTGTACTCACACTATGCTATCCGAGCCATGCCTAGTAGGGGTGTCACGATTTCGATTTTTAATCGAAATCGATCGAAATTTATGCTCAATTTTGATTATTTGAATCAAAAAATAGAATCGTCGATGCTGCCACGCCCCCATGTCACGTCAGCTTGTCTTGCCAAGCGGGAAAAAACAGGCTTGTTGAAGTGCTTGTTGAACTGCAGAAGCAGGAGACCCGTCGACAGAACTTAAACCCTCTCCTCTTTCAATGAAGTCGCCGGTGTGTAAGCATTTTGGATTTCTAGTGAGTTATGTTGACAACGTTCGTGTTGTCGACCAAAAAAAAACAGTTTTGCAAGCTCTGCTATGTACATATTACGTACGGTTCATCCGATAGACAACACCGGCATCGCGATCCTCCGCCCGCCCCCGTTGCAAAAAGTACACACTCAGGCCCTGTTTACACTGTCTTTGTTTTTAAATGGCATTTTAGAGCGACAACGATTTGACATCCACAGTGGCGTGTAGCATTTCTGAGCAGCCCTCCTTCCTCTCTACCTCTGACACACACACACACACACACAGACACAGACGCGCACACACACAGCCATGGGCTCGAGACAGCGGGTCCAGGCAGTCAGAGGGTCAGTAGACTGCTTCAATCTTTCACTCACTTGTACTTAGTCATTTTAGCGAACACCTCAGATACTGTTGGCTGGTTTCTGTTGGTTGTGCGTCTTTTTTACTGACGCCATTATAACGACACAGATCACTGCCTATTCACGAGTCCCGCAGAAAAAGTGATTGACAGGTGGTAATTATGTGTGTATCTTGCCTTTATTTATTTACTGTATGATTTGTTTATGGGTAAAACAAAGACCATGCAGGTCAGGTAATTTAAACGGTAGGCTACAAATAATTAATTGGTCATTAATTAATTTATTATTCATAATCGAAAATCGAATCGTGACTTTAGAATCGAAAATGTAATCGAATCGAGGATTTGGAGGATCGTGACACCCTTAATGCCTAGGCACGTTTTCCAGTTCGTTTGAAAAGTGTGAGTGCTCCGAATCACACCCAGGAACCACATGATTGAAAACAACCTACATGGATCAACGTTTTTTTTTCCCGGTTTTATCAGGTCATCTCATATTTCAGTTTCTCATCAAATCTCCTGACCAATCAAATGCTTTCTAGTATCTGACATGTCCAACCCACTTGAAGACGCTTCTCATTTGATGCGCTTGAGCTTAACCACTCTCACTGGCAGAGCGATGATAAAGCAAAACACTATTGGCTGTTTTATAAAAAAGGGGGAGGAGCTACACTATGTCCACACTCTCTTTACGAAAATCAAACATCGAATAAAAGCGCACATTTCAAAGCACTTCACAGGACATTAAACTAGAGACTCTCCAGCTCTTACCTGGAAAAGTTTGTTTCAGGAATGGAGTTCTCGACCACAGGAGAGTCCAGATTGGCTGAGCTACTGCTGAGCCGGTCGCTGCTTTCGTATCCAGACTCGGTGCGCTGGATCTTCCAGTTATCCGGCCGAATACTGAGGCTGTTGGCGTTCATTTTAACCCGGTCCTGCTCTGAATCCAGTGAGCTCCGGCTGCCCATATCCTGCCGTTGCTCGTCCTCATATATAGTCATTAAACTCTTGGGTTTGCGCTCTTCACGACGACCCCATCCCAAGTCCTCGCTCTCATAATTATTGATCTGTCTGCGAGTGTTCTGGTAGTTTTGAGTATTGTCACTGTTTATAACGCTGTCTACATTGAGAGCCTCTCTCATAGGCCTCCATTGCCGATTACCGCGACTCCGAGTACCGTAAGTCCGAGAGTCCTGACTGCTGTCGGTGTCGTATCCGTTAGCCACGTCTGTTCTGCGAGAGCGATGATCTGCTGGTGGATGAAGTGGAACTCGGGGCTGAGGCTGGGAGTGAGGGGTGTAGTTGTTGGTGGTTGGCCAGCGGTCAGTTTTGGTCGGGCCTCTGCCTTGACTGCTGTAAAAGCGAGACTCCATGTGCCTGAAGCCGTTCTCCGGAGGAGACAGTGAGCGCGAGTGAGGTTTCTCAGACGACGAGGAGTCTGCGGAGGAAAACACACCGTTACACAAAGCTTTTCTTTAAAGGGAACCTATATAATAAAAAATGTATGGTTTGCAAGGACTCTTGTGTTGCTTAACTTTTTGCCTGATGTGTGTCTTTATTAAAAAAGGATAGAAGAGAGAAAGGATGAAACGACAAAAAGGATGAAAGGACAAAAAAATTAAGGACAAGAAAACAAAAGAAAGGATGAAAAATTTTAAAGAAAATGACAAAAGAAAAAAGGATGAAAGAAAAGGATGGAAGGACAAAAGATTAAAAGAAAGAAAGAAAGATAGAAAGGAAAAAAAGAGGATGAAAAAAACAAAAAAAAAACGAAAAGACGAAAGAAAGAACAACAGGAAAAGAAAGAACAAGAAAAAGAAAGAAAGGAAAAAAGAAAGAAATTATAAAAAATAACGAAATAAAAGAAATAACAACAAAAGAAGAAAGAAAGAAAGGAATAAAGAGAGAAATAAAGAAAGAAAGAGAGGATAAAAAGAAAGGGCAAAAGAAAAAGAAAGGACAAGGACGAAAAGAAGAAAGAACAAAACGAAGAAAGAACTATCAAAAGAAAAGAGGGACAAAAGAAAAGACAAAAAACAGAAAGAAAGAAAAAAGAAAGAACAAGAACAACGAAAGAAATAATGAAAATAAGAATGAAAAAGTACATAAGGATGAAGACAAATGAACAATGAACGAATGAAAGGAAGAACGAAAGGATGAAGAAAAGACAAAAAGAACAAAAAATTTAAGAAAAAGAATGAATAGACGAAAGAAAGGACAAGGAAATGAAAGAACAAAAGAAAAGGATAAAAGAAAAAGACAAAAGAAAGGATGAAAAAACAAAAGAAAAAAAGAAAAGAAAGAAAGAAAGAAAGAAAGAAAAAAAGAAAGAAAGAAAGAAAGAAAGAAAGAAAGAAAAAAAGAAAGAAAGAAAGAAAGAAAGAAAGAAAGAAAGAAAAAGAAAGAAAGAAAAGGAAACGAAAAATTAAGGACAAAAGAAAGGAGGAAAAAAACAAAGGGAAAAAAAGGCAAGGATGGAAAGGACAAAAAAGAAAGAAAGAAAGAAAGAAAGAAAGAAAGAAAGAAAGAAAGAACAAACGAAAGGATGAAAAGAACAAATGAACAATGAACGTAAGAAAGGACAAAAGAAAAGACAAAATGAAGAAACAAGAAAGAAAGAAAGAAAGAAAGAAAGAAAGAAAGAAAGAAAGAAAGAAAGAAAGAAAGAAAGAAAGAAAGAAAGAAAGAAAGAAAGAAAGAAAGAAAGAAAGAAAAAGAAAGAAAGAAAGAAAGAAAGGACAAAAAAGATAAAAGAATGTATATTAGGAAATATGTCTAATATCTAATATTATAAATCTATTAAGTAAATAATAACAAAAACTTCATTATTCTGAAAATGTTCAGTGTAGAAATGTTATGATGAAGTAAAAAAACAATAGGATTAATAATTTAATAGTTTATGGCATTTATAAATTATTCATATTTAACAATGACAATACTAATAATACATGCACACTGTATTTAGCACTAAATATTTAAGCTTGTTCTTTATTTGACAATTCACCATTCACATTCAGTCAAAATATATCCAAACAGAAGTGCATTCTTCACATCAAACAACACTGATGAGTGCATTTTGCCGCTGTAAAAGTAGCCCTGTTTCATTCTCAGATTTTGCTGCGTGTTATTAAATTGCACATTTACATTACACAAACACAATTCACCAACGCTGATCCTGAGTCTGCAGGGCCAGAATCATCCATCTTCGACAGGCACACACATACACACACGGGGTTGCACTAATAGCCTGAATGACCTTTTCTCCAGTAAAGGTGGAAGAGCGGCTCTCTTTGTGCAGAACAGTGCTGATATTGGCACTGTTAAAGAGGCTGGCATTGAAATAATGCGGCAATGCAAATCTATACCGCTGTGGTGCTGTCCTACAATGCCAATATCACTATATCACTGTGCAGCACCAGCTTTCTTTTTCTTCTTCTTCTTTAAAAAAAAACTGCATTATCTCATTAGATATTAATGCAGCTTTGACTTGTGCTCGTCTCTCTCACACACTGAAAATGCTCATGGGCATGAGGACAAAGGAAAGGATGAAAGAAAGAAAGAAAAAAAGGACGAAAGTAAGGAAGGATGAAGGTTGAAAAAGTAGGAAAGAAAAAAATAATAAAATAAAAAAAAAAGAGAAAGGACGAATGAAAGGTTGGGAAAGAATAAACAAAAGGACAAAAGAAAAGACAAGAAAGAATGGGGAAAGAAAGAAAGGGCGAAAATAAGAAAGGATGAAAGTAAGAAAGGATGAAAAAAGGGTTAAAAAAGGACGAAAAAAGGATGGAAGGAAGAAAGAATGAAAAAGAAAGGATGAATGAATGAAAGGTTGGAAAAGGATGTACAAAAGGACAAAAGAAAGAAAGGACAATAGTAAGGTTGAAAACGAAAGGATGGAAGAAAGAATGAAAGAAAAATGAAAAGTTGAAAAAGGATGAATGAAAGAAAAGGATGAACCAAAGGTTGGAAAAGGATGAACCAAAAAAAAGAAAAGGCAAAAAAAGAAAAGATGGAAGAAAGAAAGAAAAGAAAGAAAAAAGGATGAAAATAATAAAGGACGATAGAAAAAAGGATGGAAGGAAGAAAAAATGAAGACAGAAAACAGGATGAAAGAACGAAAGGTTGAAAGGAAGAAAGAATGAAAAAATAGAATGAATGAAAGGTTGAAAAAGGATGAACAAAAGAAAGAAATAACAAAAAGAAAGAAAAGATAAAAGGACAAAAAAGAAAAGGCTACAAAGAAAGAAAGAAAGAAAAAAGATTGGAAGAAAGAATGAAAGAGAGAACGAAAAATAAAGGATGTATAAAAGGTTAAAAAAAGATGAACAAAAGAAAGAAAGATCAAAAAGGACAAAAGAAAGAAAAGATAAAAGGACAAAAAAGGAAGGGCAAGAAAGAAAAGATGGAAGAAAGAAAGAAAATGAAATGAATGAATGAAAAAAGGATGAAAGTAAAAGGATGAAAGAAAAAAGGATGGAAGAAAGAAAGAATGAAGACAGAAAACAAGATGAAAGAAAAAAAGGTTAAGGAAGAAAGAATGAAAAAGAATGAAAAAAGAATGAATGAAAGGATGAAAAAGGATGAATAAAAAGAAAGAACAAAGGACAAAAGAAAGAAAAGATAAAAGGACCAAAAATAATGGGCAGGAAAGAAAGAAAAAAAGAAAGAAAGAAAGAAAGAAAGAAAGAAAGAAAGAAAGAAAGAAAGATTGGAAGAAAGAATAAAAGAGAACGAAAAAGAAAGGAAGTATTAAAGGTTGAAAAAGGATGAACAAAAGAAAGGACTAAAAAGGAAAAGCAAGAAAAAAGGATGGAATAAAAAAAGGAAGAACAAAAGAAAAAACAAAAAAAGGACAAGAAAGAAAGGATGGGAAAAAAAGAAAGAAAAGTCAAGAAAAAAATGTTGAAGAAAGAAAGAAAGAACGAACGAAAGGACAAGAGAGGATGAAAAAAGGAAGGACACAAAAAACGATGGAAGAAATAAAGGACAAAAGAACAAAAGAAAGGATGATGGGAAAAGGATAAACGAAAGAAAGGATTAAAAGGAAGAACAAGAAAAGAAGAGGGAAAAAACAAAGGACAAAAAAGGAAGGACAAGAAACAAAGGATGGAGAAAAAGAAAAAAAAAGAAGGACAAAAGAAAGTACAAAAAGGAAGTACACGAAAGAAAGGATGGAAGAAAGAAAAAAGAACAAAAGAAAGAAATGTCGAAAAAGAAAGGACACAAGAGAGGATGAAAAAGGAAGGACACAAGAAAGGATGGAAGAAATAAAGAAAGGACAAAAGAACAAGAAAGGACGGTTGGAAAAGAATAAACGAAAGAAAAGACCGAAGAAAAATGACAAAAGAATGAAAGAAGGAAAGAAAGAAAGACTGAAAGAAGGGATAAAGGAAAGAAAAAGGACGAAAAAAGATGAAAGGACAAAAACAAATATGAAAGAAAGAAAGAAAGAAGCTGATGATGTGCCCTAATGAATTCTCCTACACGGTTAACTTTCTCCAAGATGAAGGGGTCTGGTCAGAGATCTACACGCTGCCGGCTAAAAAGCCATTAGTAAGCCACATATACCTGCTTAGAAAGGGTAAAGCAAAGTCAAGCAGATTGGCTTGCAAAACACAATTTTACTGCGTATGAGCGCAATAAAAGGAGACGGTAATGTCGGTCACATGACACCTGCACAATATGGTTTCACTGCATATGAGGAAATGGCATCGTGAAACCCATAAACTCACATCTGCATGGCCAGATATGTGCACTGCTCAATGGACCATGCCATAGAAGTGTGCATGCACTGTGAACATGCAGCGCTCCACATTCTACAGTACATTCATGCTGTCCCAAAACAAATCAATCAAGTTTAGTTAAAAGTTGATTGAACATAAAATAATTAAGTTGAATTAAGTTTAACAAAGACCAAGACGACAAAGAACACAACGAAGACCAAGACAAAGTTGAACACGACAAACACAAAGACAATGAAGACAAAAATAACAAAGACGAAAATTAAGAGGAAGACAATGAAGAAGACAAAGACAAAAGATGAAGACGACAAAGAAGCCGAAGACAAAAGATGAAGACAACGAAAAACACAAAGAGGACAAACAAGACAAAGATGAAGACAGAAGAAGACGAGGAACACAACAAATGGGAAGAAAAAGATGAAGTTGAAAAAAAAACAGTCAAAGAACAAAAAGAAGACGAAGACAAAGATAAGAGACGAGGACAACAAACATGAAGACAAAGACAAACACAACAAAGATAAAGACGTCAAACGCAAAGACAATGCAGACGAAGACAAAGAAGATAAAGACGAAGAACACATCGAAGAAGACAATGAAAGACACAAAAGATGAAGACAACGAAGAAGACGAAGACAGCATGCGAAGACAGAAGGCGAAGACAGAAGATGAAGACAACAAAGACGAAGACAGAAGATGAAGACAACAAAGAAGATGAAGACAGAAGATGAAGACGAAGACAACAAAGAAGACAAAGAAGATGAAGACCAAGAAAAAGACAACGAAGACGATGAAGACAAAGAAGTTGACGAAGAAGATGAAGAGGAGAAAAAGAAAACACGAAGACAAAGAAAATGCAAAGACAAAGATGGCGAAGAGGAAGACGACAAAGAAGACGAAAAAGACAAAAGAGAAGACAAAGATAAACAGTACAAAGACGACGAAGAAGAAATAATAATGATTCCATACGGGAGAAAAATAGTTTAAGTTACTATTTATATTTTTATTTAGTATTTGGAAAAATGTGATGAGACCTTTACAGAATAAAAAAATGGCATTTTATTCAAACCATACCTAATATCAAACCATATCTAATCCAGAGAAAATTAAAAGTTTTTAAAGTGTGTCTTAATTTATTTCTACAGCTGTATATTTATGAATAAAAAAAAAACTCAGCTTTCCATTAAGACGGCTCACGAGTGTTTACTAACAAAAAGATTTACATATTTTCTAAAAGCATGTGAAATCACACTAATGTTAATATCAATCACACTTTCTTCTGTAGGATATAAAAAACTCCTTTAATATACTACTACTACTACTACTACTAATAAACTTACATAGCGCCTTCAAAAATTGCATCTCAAGGCACTTTACAGACAAAGACTCAACAATGAGAGCTTATATACACACACACACACATATATACATATATATATACATACATATATATATATACATATACATATATATATATATATATATATATATATATATATATATATATATATATATATATATATATATATATATATATATATATATATACATACATACACACACACACACACACACACACACACACACTCTCTCTCTCTCTACTATATATACATATACACATATATATATATATATATATATATATATATATATATATATTGTATATTTATATTATATATAATTACAACTGAAAGATTTAACGACAGAGCCATCATGTTCACTGTATCTAATAGAGTAATACTTCAAGTCACACATGTAATGAATGACATAAAATGCCCTGAAAAAAATATTCACTGGATTCAAGTTTAAGGTATGCGGTTGCAAACAGTTTATATGGGCTGAATTTGAACAAACAAATCAAGTTGCACATTACTAAACATAATTTGTTTGTTTAAATTCACCCTATGTAAATTTTTTTGCATCTGCTTACCTTAAAAAAAAAAAAAAAAAAAGTAAATCCAATGAATGTTTTTTTCAGTGTTTAACTTTTACGAAACAAACACACGCCAGACTCCACAAGCAATCAAGTGCTGCTCATCATCATGATTAAATCTTGCTGGACGCGTCTTTACACTTTCATTAAAAAGTCTCCAGCAGAGTGACCTCGCCCAGCATTAGTGCGGTTATGCAAGCGGAGCAGCGTAATCTCTCCAGCAAATCTGACACAATGTGTTGATAAAGTCATCTTTCATTTGAAATTAGACTCAATTATGACGAAACTATGGTGCAAAGCAGGAGGTGGAATTGCACCACATGACGATTGAAAGTTGAAGTCAGGATTATTAGCCACCCTGTATATTTTGCCCCTAATTTCTGTTTAACGGAAAGATTTTTTTTCCAATACATTTATAAACATAATAGTTTTGATAACTCATTTCTAATAACATGTTATGACAATACATAATATTTGACAAGATACTTTTCAAGATACTAGTATTCAGCTTAAAAAGACATTTAAAGGCTTAACTAGATTAATTAGGTCAGAGTAATAAGGCAAATCATTGCATATCAGTGGTTTGTTCGGTAGACTATTGAAAAAAATATTGCTTAATGGGGTTAATAACCTTAAAATAGTCTTAAAAAATAAAAACTGATTTTATTTTAGTTGAAATAAAACAAATAGGACTCTCAAGAAGAAAAAATATTATATTAAATACAGTGTTCTTGCTGTTAAACATCATTTGGGAAATATTTGAAAAATAAAAAAAATAAATAAAACGTTTATAAAAGATTAATAATAATAATAATAATAATGATAATAATCATCATCATCATCATAGGAGGGATAATAATTCACAGCTAAAAATCTATCTGCATTTGGTGGGTGTTAATGTAAAGCCCTGATTATAAAATGTCATATATGTGTATATTATGTTGTATAAGCATGTATAATGTGTGTTTAATATTTGGTTGAGATACATCTATTATAATATCTTGAATATGAGAATAAAAACAATCAAAATATTGAGAAAGTTGGCTTTAAAGTTGCACAAATTAAGTTCTTAATCCATATTACAAATGATATATTTACAGTAGGAAATTGACAACATATATTAATGAAATACATCTTTTAACTTGAAATTCTGACAATTTTCTGGCACAAAATAATAATAATAATAATAATAATAATTTTGACTCATAGAAATGCATTTTTGGCAATATTGACAAAAATATACACACGCAACATAAAACTAGTTTTGTGCTCCGGGCTCACATATCCACTCCCAGAAAACTTAAAAGTATGCCTGCATCACGCAGCATGAGCTGCTATTAATTATGTGCTGGAAAAGAGAGCTGGACAGAGGAAGCGCTGCAGAGATTACGGTCATCAGTGCGAGGACGGGCCACACGTCAGACGTAATCTGTGTTTTTAACACTTCTCACTGACCCCGGGTTACATAAGGACCAGCAAAGCACTGTGAGCCAGTTTATTCCACTCCAAAGCTCTGCTAAAAACTACAACACATCTGTGCCTCCCTAAAGAGGGCTGAGGACACTTTTAAAAGGGTGATTTGATACTAAGAGATAAAGCATTCTGTTTGCTTTGGTTACAAAACGTGCTTTTTCCAATCCTTAAAAACACTGGCGCTCAGAAGTCTGGAATATGCAAGATTTTGTTCATGTTTTTTGAGTCTCTGTTGACTAATTCAATGCGATCAAATGCAGTACAGAAAGTAATTTTACTACAATTTAATGAAAATGTTTTATATTGTATTATATTTTCAGCAACACAACTTTAGTCTTTAGAGAATAAAAGACAAAATTTAATAAATTAGAATAAAATAGAATAAAACAAAGTGTATTAGAATAGTATAAAATAGAATAAAAAATAGAATAAAATAAAATAGAATACATTAGATTAGAATAAAATAACAAAAAAGTATAAATTAGAAGAAAATAATAAAATAATAGAATAAACTAGAATAATATAAATTAGAAAAAATTTGAATACATTAAAATAAAACAGAATTAGAATAAATTAAAATAGAATTAATTAGAATAATATAAATTAGAATAAAATAGAATAGTATAAAACAAAAAATAGAATAGAATAAAATACAATAAAATAAATTAGACTAGAATAAAATAAATACATTAAAATAAATTAAAATAAAATAAAATAAAATAATAAAATACAATAAATAAGATATCAAATAATATATAGAAAATAATAAATTAAAATATAATAAAATAAAATAGAATAAATTAGAATAGAATAAAATAAAATAAATCAGAATAAAATAAAACAAAATAGAATACATTAGAATAGAATAAAATAAAATAAATAAGAATAGAATAAAACAAATAAATAAAAGAAGTTAGAATAAAATAAAAATAGAATAGAATAAAATAACATAGAAAAAAATAATAGAATAAATTACAATAGAATAAATTAGAATAAAAATAGAATAGAATAAAATACAATAAAGTAGATAAAAATAGAATAAAATAAAATAGAATAAAATTTAATAAAACAGAATAGAATAAATTAAAATAGAATAAAATAAAATAAATTTTAATAAAATAAATTAAAACAGAATAGAATAAAATAAATTAGAAAATAAATTACATTTTTTTTACATAGTTTGAGTAAAGACAGTTACTTTAAATTTTTTAAATAAACATTTCATGTATTTACACTGTATAATATACATTTTACAGTATTACTGTTTTTCTATAATTCTGACTGTGACTGACAAATTTAAATAAATCTTAATTCCATTAAACATTAAGTCATTACTACATTATAAGACAAACCTCCAATGATGCTTTGGAGAACCATTTTCCCCAAAGGAGTGGAGATTAGCCATTCTTACCTCGGTTTCTCATTGCTTCTGTTCTTATCTGTGACCGATCCGAATCCTTCTTCATAAAGTTCAAGGGACGTCCTTCTTTCGGCAGCTCCCTCAAAATGTCTCTGATTCGACTCTTTGGATCAAAGTTCATCTTCACTGCAAGACAAAGAACACAGTTATGAATAAATGCAGCTCTTTAACTAAACACATAATACAACCAAAAGGTAAAAAAAAAAACCTGCTAAATGAGGATTTTGCCAATATGGATGTCCCACTGAGGAATTCAAAATAGCACATTGTGAATTTATTAGCTTTATTCAATAAATGATCATATATCAAGATGCAAATCTGCCACTTTATCTGCTATACAAGTCTTCTTTTTTGGAAATATGCTAGTTTTATAACTCTCCTAGAAGTAAACAGTTGAGTTTTATCATTTTTGAACTCAGTCAGCCAGTCTCTAGGATTTGCGGAAACACTTTTAGCTTAGCTTAGCATAAATCATTGAATCAGATTAGACCATTAGCATCTTTTTGGAAAAAAAATCATATTGAAAGATTGACTTCTGTAGTTACATTGTATACTTTGTATTAAGTAAATAAAAATTGCTATTTTCTACGTTGATATGTCTAAGAACTAGACTCATTTCTGCATAATAATTACACTCTAAAAAACAGTGAGTTATTTATTTAACCCTATAGTTGAGTTAAAAATATTTGATGATGTGTTGGATTATTTTAGCATATGATGTGACTAAAAGAGTCAAGCTTTTAATAGAAAAATCTTGTAATCTTTTTGGTCATTGTTTAGCTAGTCGCTAATGGTCTAATCTGATTCAATGATTTATGCTAAGCTAAGCTAAAAGCATTGTAATATAATTGCGATTCTCCAGCCATGGTACAGCAACAAAGATAATAGTTCCCATCCATATAGAACTTTACATTTTCTATCAGTCTTAGTATATGAAGCAAATATAAAAGAGCCACGCTTTAAATAGAAAAATTATCTAAACATTTCGGTGATTTTTTTTTTTTTTTAGCTAGTCACTAATGGTCTAATCTGATTCAATGAATTATGCTAAACTAGGCTAAAAGTATCATAATATCATGGTACGGCAACACAGTTATAATTCCAACCAATATATAATTTTTCCAGTTTCCATCGGTCTTGAATCGCAAAATCATTTAAACACTTTGGTCATTTTTTAGCTAGTCGCTAATGGTCTAATCTGATTTAATGCATTGTGCTTAGCTAAGCTAAAAGTATTGTAATATTGCACTCCTCCAGCCATAGAACGCAATAATGAGAGTACAGTTCCCATTAATACATTCATTTACATTTTCCATCGGTCTTAGTATATGATGTACCTATAATAGAGTCAAGCTTTAAAGAGAAAAATCATCTAAACATCTGTCATTGTTAAGCTAGTTTAGGTCGTCGCTAATGGTCTAATCTGATTCAATGAATTATGCTAAGCTAAGCTGAAAGTATTGTAATACCATGGTATGGCAACAAAGTTATAGTTCCCATCCATATGTAATTTTACATTTTCCATCGGTCTTAAATTGAAAAATCATCTAAACTCTTTGGTCATTGTTTAGCTAGTCTAATCTGATTCAATGAATTATGCTAAGCTAAAAGCATTGTAATATCTTTTTGCTCCTCAAGCCATGGCACAGCAACAAAGTTACAATTCCCATCCATATATAACTTGACATTTTTCATTGGTCTTAGTATATGATGTAACTATAAAAGAGTCAAGCTTTAAATAGAAAAATTATCCAAACATTTTGTTCATTGTTTAGCCAATCGCTAATGGACTAATCTGATTCAATGAATTATGCTAAGCTAAGCTAAAAGTATTGTAATATCATTGCGCTCATCCAGCCATGGTACAGCAACAAAGTTCCTTGATTATTAAACAAAATAGAGAGAGTAGTTCCCATCCATAACTTTACATTCTCCATCGGTCTTAGTCAGGTCTTAATTTGTGCCGGAACACGCACCTCTGAAATCTGATCAAGCACCTCATTTTACCGATCCCCCTCCTCAAGTCTGCAGTGAACTTTCACTTTCTTCCACAACTCTCTAACTCTTTTTACTTTCGTCTGCAACACCCTTCCACGCTATCCACCGCACCAATAAACCCTGGTCATTGTTTAGGTAGTTGCTAATGGTCTAATCTGATTCAATGAATTATGCTAAGCTAAGCTAAAAGTATTGTAACATCAATGCACTCCTCCAGCCATGGCACAGCAAGAAAGTTAACAGATCCCATCCATATAGAACTTTACATTTTCCATCGGTCATTGTTTTGGTAGTTACTAATGGTCTAATCTGATTTAATGAATAATGCTAAGCTAAGCCAAGACCGAAGATCAACTGAATGGATTAAAAAAATGCAAACACTTTACCTCTATAAAAGTTGTAAAATGATCATATTTACAAAAAAAACCCCATAAAAAAAGGTAGTGTTTCTTTCCTCGAACACATAAATGAAGATTCTGCCAACATGGATGTCACATTAATGACTTAAAATAATGATATACCCTGTATTTATTAGCGTTACTATACAGTAAATGATCATATATCAGGATCGAAATCACTTTATTTCCTATACAGGGGCTCTGAAATGTTAATGCAGACATTAAAGAAGCTGTCCGGCGTGTTTTATGAGTCTACTGTAAAAATCCATATGCAGCACCCTTCAAATAAAGTGTTTGAGTGCGCTTGAAGTTGAGGATGATTGGGACGGTGGGAGGAAAGTGTAGCCTCTGCACTCTTTAAATACACCCCCGAGGCTTCTGGGAAGGACAGCAGAGCCTTAACGGCGATCAATGTGTGTGCGCTTCAGTGTTTTTCTGCTGCGCTGGAGGAGAAAAGCAGTGAAGTGTTGCAAGAGAGTGAAAGAGAAAGCACGTTTCTTGCCTTCAAACGCTGCACTGCAGTCTTGTAATGAGGGTCACAGCTGAAAAAACAGCTCACTATCAGCAATCACATCCTACATTCCTGAACGGATACGGATCTTCTTCTGATCTTGGTCAAGCTTGCCCTCACTACGGCCCCAGGAAGGGACTTGGACATGCAAGTCATATTAAAAACAAAATTGCTAAAGACGCCCATTTCATTTTTGGTCAATGTTTGATCTTGTAATACTAATAAAGTTAAATTAAACTAAATTAAATTAAAAATGAAACAAAATAGAATAGAAAATGTTAATAAAAAAAAGAAATAAGAATAAAATTAAAAATATAATAAAACAAATTATAATAAAACTAAATAAATAGTATAAATCAAAATAAGATAAAAAACAATAAAAAAAATTCAATTTAAATATGAAAATATAAAATGTATTTAAATAATATATATATATATATATATATATATATATATATATATATATATATAAAATAAATATAGCAAAATAAATATAGCAAAATAAATTTAAAAATAATATAAAAATATACAATTAAATAAAAAATATTAAATAAAAAATAACAAAATAGAATAATGTAAATAAAACAAAAAAATAAAATAAAATAAAAATAAAATAAAAAATATAATAAAGCAAATCACAAATAACAAAATAAATAGTATAAAAAAAAAATCAAACAAAAAATTTAAATAAAATTTAAATATAAAAATATAAATTTAAATAAAAAATTATATAAAACAAAATAAAATAAAAATTAAATATAACAAAATAAAATTTAAAAAGTCTGTCAAATGCATAAAAGCATCAACAAAACAAAAACAAAACATTGGAAAGGAGCTTAAAAAAGTGTGTAAAACAAAACAGAATTTTTTTTTATAAAAATAAAAATCAAAAATCAAAAAATTAAAACCAGGAAAAAAACCAAGCAATGTATAAAAATTTTCTGCTAAATGCATACGATGTTAAATAAAACAAAGGCAACAATTCATTACAAATATTGCTGGCTTTTTTGACCAAATTGACTTTTTACTTTCGATCAAAGGCAACAATAAACCACATATATTATAACAACAACAAACCGAACCAAAACTTTTGTTAAAAAAAAACTAAGTACTGGCTATATGCATAAACATAAAACAGTAAAGAAAAAGAAAGAAAAATCAAACAAGCATCAAATCGATAACATAATGAAAACTAAAAGAATAATAATAATAAATAAATACATTTAAAAAATAAATGTAAAAAATTCCAATCCAATTTAAGAAAAATATAAAACCACCAAATAAAAATAAAACCCAAAAAAAATCTAACAAACCAAAAAAACTTTCAATCATTGTCATGTATAAAATAATTTGCATAATAATGCATACATTTTTAAATAGGCTTTTTTTCGACCAAATTGATTGTTCACTTTTGATCAAAGGTGCCTTGTTAAATGCATTAATGTGAAATAAAACAAGCAAAATTAAATAGAAATAATAATAAAAATAAAAATACACTAAATCTAAACTTTGATAAAGTATTGGCTTTTAAAAAACAACTTAAAACAAAAACAATCACCAAATCAATAAAAATGAAAGTAGTAATAAACAAAAATAACACTGAAAAAATGTGTTAGTTATAAGCACCCTAAGTAAACCTTAAGTGTAATATTATATCCAGGCTACCCAGATCCCTGAAAATAAACTAATTAAACGTTTTGCAATGACTCTGCACAATCTCCCAGTAAGCTAGTCACACACACTATTAAAACTTTCAGTCTGCTGCTGTGTGCTTGTACCACTGAGGACTATAATAAAAATACTCATTTTGCACGGCTTTATACGCTATTTCCCAAAGCCAAAGGGAATAATTTCACTGCCGGAGGACAGAAAGCCATTACAAAAGTTGATCTAAGAGCTTTTAGTGGAGGGGAAACGTCAACAATAAAAAGAGAGACACATCAAGCTATTACGGTGTGCAATAACGGAGGAATGTGGGCTACTGGAGCACCAGACCATGCGTCTTTGTTCAGATGTCCTGGGTTTCTCTCTCTCTCTGATCCTCTAGGTATTAAAATACTGTGCGGGGGAACAGTGTTGCCTCCAACTGAGAACATTTTGACCACAGCACCGGTCATGAAAAAAGCATGAGGCTTAGAAAGGATGAAGCAGGTAAATCAGGGTAAAAGTGAGAGTCTGGTTTTTTTTTGTTTGCTTTTTTTTTTACTTTAAGGACAACATGGGGGCATTTAAAAGTGGGGACTTTCAAATAATAATAACAACAACAATAATAATAATAATAATAATAATAATAATAATAATAACAACAACAACAACAACAACAACAACATAAATAATAATAACAACAACAACAATAATAATAATAATAATAATAATAATAATAACAACAACAATAATAATAATAATAGCAATAATAATAATAACAACAATAATAATAATAATAATAATAATAATAATAATAATAACAATAATAATAATAATAATAATAAAGAAAAAAATAGGTATTTTTTCAATTATTCTGGATGAATGTAAACCTATTGTAGAACAACTCAGAAACCCTTAAGTAACATGATTAAGTGATTATTTTAGTTGTTTTGACGTTTAAATTGACATTTTTTTTTACCTGGACCCCTGCCGCCGCTGGTCTGGTTGCTGGTTCGACTGAACACAGACGGAGGCTGAGATTTCGGCTTAAGAGTACCATGGTTTGCGATAAAGGCAGTCAAATTCTCTTGAGTCAATTCAAACTTTTTTCCACCCAGTGTAGGAGTACCTGAAAGAGACACACAAACTACGTTACTATTATGCAACTACTAACATTTGCTTGTATCAATAATGTTACTATTTTTCAACTACTAACATTTACTATAATAATAAATGTTACCGTTATGCTACTAATTACTAACATCTGCTATTAGCATTAATGTTACTAATTTTCAACGACTAACATTTATTATAATCATCAATATTTTACTGTTACGCAAAAGGATCACGAAACATCAAAACACACAGAGAGACGCCACGTTGTGTTGCCAAAACAAGTGGAAAAACAAGAATTGCTTGGAGACAAGGGTCATCAGTGTTGCATTTATAAATGTGCTGCAGCAAAGGTTTTGTTTTCAGTTTTTGCTATGAGAGCGCAGCTGGACTCACATGTGGATTACAGTCGAGAGGTGACTTGTGCGAACTTGCGAAGCTCAGTTATCCCAGAATGCATTGCAGCGTAACCAGCAAGCGCTAATGGCGGAGGAGGAAACCCGCACGGTTTTAAAAATGCTCCTTTACTGTGTCACAAAATAAAGTTTTAAGAGTTTTTCAGGCGAGAATGTAGTTGTTTTAAACTCGAATCGGCAGTTTATTCACAAAGATAGCGCTTCTTTAACGATGTGGCTCAGCTTATGCAGACTCTGAGTCCCAGCCTGACAGCGGGAGCTCCGTCATCAGCTCCCCCGCCAGAGCAGCTTTACTTCGGCCAGGCCATGTCGGACGTACTGCTGGATCTCATCACTCCATTGTAGTTAAAACAAGATATTTAATACATCTTGGGAATATCTAACGGACAGTTTTTGGTCTTATAAATCTATTATTTGTTGTCAGGTGTATTATTTTGGCAGAGTTATTTTGTTACCTTTTATACTTGTCTTTAATGATGTTACCGTGTTGTACGCTGTTTGTCTTTGTTTACCAAATTGCTTGGCGTAATCTTTATTTCTTATCATGTATGTCTTTATTTCTTATTGTCTGGATAATTATCATTGTAGTTTAATAAATCTGATAATCAAAGACACGTGTATAATAACTCATTTTAATTTACATTTATATGAATATATGTGTACATTTTTCTTAAATCAAAAATGTAAATTTATAATATTAATATAATACTAAATCATTTTATTGTTATATACAGTAAAACTGATGAATCCGGGCTGAGGTAAGTGACGTTATGAAGTACACTGCCGTTCCATTTGAAGAAGTACCCGACTTGTGTCCTCGTGTCCTCGGGAGTTCGTTCTTCCAAGTGTGAACTTGGCAAGTCTGAACTTCCAAGGACGCAAGTCCGAACTTTGCGTATTTGGTATTGAGAAACTACGGAACCCTGGAAGAGATGTAGTGGAGGAGAAAAAAATTGGCTGGGTGAAAAAAAAATGAGTGAAAGAAAAAAATGAGTGGGAGGAAAATATATATTTCTAAGTTTTTGCGTTCTCTCGCAAAGTTTTGCGTTCCCTTCCAAAGATGTTTTGCGTTCCCTCGCAAAGTTTTGCATTATCTCGCAAAGATGTTTTGCGTTCTCTCGTAAAACTGTTTCTCCACAAACACTTTCTGTTCACTTCACTCACGTTAACCCTCCCGTTTTTGCCGAAATTCTCCCATATTTTATCATTCTATCCCACTTTCTTTACATTACTGTGCGTCGATCGTCGGCTTTCATATCCAACCAACCAGTGAATGCATGTATAAGCGTTGACTGACAGACGCGGTCCATACAATAAACTGATCCCAGATCAGCGTCTGTACACGCCATTTACAGAGGAGCGGGTGTGTGTTTAAACAGACAAATACACTGAATGTAAACATCTCAGTCCTGCATGTTTTATTTTAAACAGCTTATTTTCTCTTAAAAGAGCACAAACAGTTTCTAAAGTAATTGAATGCTTTCATTATTGATCTGTGCATTCTTACAGCGACACCTCTGTTATCAAACTAAGCAAAACATGAGATTCATTTGCTGCTCACTTGTTTGATAACAAAAATGTCCCTTTAAATGGCGCGTACAGACGCTGATCTGGGATCAGTTTATTGTACGGAGCGCGTCTGTCAGTCAGCGCTTATACATGCATTCACTGGTTCAGAGGTTGCACAGTGAAAGGCGACGATCGGCGCACATATTTAATGTAAAGAAAGTGGGGTAGAATGGTAAAATATGATAGAATTTCGGCAAAAACGGGAGGGTTTACGTGAGAAGTGAACAGGAAGTGTTTGTGGAGAAACAGTTTTACGAGAGAACGCAAAACATCTTTGCGAGGGAACGCAAAACATCTTTGCAAGGGAACGCAAAACTTTGCGAGAGAACGCAAAAACTTAGAAATATATATTTTCCTCGCATCCATTTTTTTCTCTGCCATTTTTTTTTTTCACCCAGCCAATTTTTTTCTCCTTCACTACGTCCCTTCCGGGGTTCCGTAAGAAACAGCCTAGGATTCACTTTTGTATTGTGATATGTGAACTATTTCAATATAAAATAAGTTTCCTACAGTATTAATGTACATCATGTATAATAACATATTTTTTTCTTCTTTTGATGGACCGGCTTAATGATCAAATCAGGCCATTTTGATTTCACAGTCTTCAATAAATGTGTGTGAAATTCACGAGAACGCACTGTATTGAAAGCTGTTTTCTACCTGGTGTTTCTCCACTGACGGTGCTCTTGTTCTGGGAGTCGTTGTTGTTTCTGCGCTGCGTCTCGTCTGTGACCACAGCACTGCCGTCAGGGTTGGAGTAAAACAGCAGCAGGGGCTGAAAGTGGCCACGGATGCATTTCGTGACCACATCTTTCCACTTGGATCCCACCTTACAAAAAAATAAAAGATAAAACCCCAGAGTGAGAAAGTGCAGCTGTGATGCTGTAAAAAGGTGAAAGCTGTGTTAGATTATTATTAGATGTGAAAGCGCACACAAGCTTCAGGCAGGTTTAGGTAAGAGTTTGCCAGCTGTATTCCAAAAGTCTCTTCAGGCAAACAGATGTAACCTTTCTTCGTAATTAAAAGACAGAAGAGAAAAGAAGAGTGAGAAAGAAAGATTTAAAATCTCCTATTAAAGAGAAATGCTGCAGGAAAAAAAACTCTTTTCATTTACCTGATTTTGCTGAGATTTTGAGCTTTTGGCTTTCATAAAGTGCTTTATCCAGCATACATGTTCATGTGTTAAATCCAGCCTGATCTCATGAGTAAACGTAAGTATTTTACGTTTTGCCAGTTTAGTGGCTAATTTGTACAAGTTCAGTCGTACAAAATTGTACGATTTAAAAAAGGAGGCGTGGCCCCTAACCCCACCCCTAAACCCAACCGTCATTGGGGGAAGAGCAAATCGTACTAAATTGTACGAATTAGATCGTAAGAATTCATATGAATTTCAAAATTTTTATATATTTTTTTCATAATACATGGGACAAAAAAAGTATTTATGTAATATTCAACTTTTTTCATACAATTTAAACTTGCAGTTTCACTTATTTACATCTTGACCCTTTTTAACGTTTTTATTTATTACAGTTATTATGAAAGTATTTAAAATTATTTAATTATTTACAAATTTTTGTAAATTTTTGTTTGTGCGCTTTTTAAAATGTTAATTTATGTGTTATTCTTGGAAAACAAAAGCAATACGTCATAAAATGTTAAAAGTAACTTCTTTCAGAGATTGATGTTTTTATTTAAGTGTTTATTATTATTATTATTATTATTATTATTATTATTTAAGTGTTTATTATTATTTTTAAAATATATTAAAATGTATTTCATTTCAGCCATTTCCTTGGCAAATATCTGAAATAAAATACATTTGAATGTATTTGGATTAATTTATTATACTTCATTTATATTCAGCTTTATTTAAAAAAAGCACTTTAAATACGAGTTTTTATTCATTTTAAAAATAGATTTAGTCAATTTAGTACATTATATAAATCTAAAATAAAAAACAGAAACATTTCTGAAATATCAGAAATAAAATAAAATTAAGATATTTGGTTTTGGCAAGATGCGCATAAAGTTTAAAAATCTGCATAAAAACATATGCACATAACTGAGTAGGGTAAACTTTTTATTTGAATTAAAAATGTGCATAAACAATGATGAAACTTATTTCACTTACATTCAGTTTTATTTTAGTTTTAGTCGATTTAGTACATTATATCAATCTAGATTAAAAGACAGAAACATCTCAGAAATATCTGAAATAAAATCCATTTTAATATATTTAACAACGAAAATGTTAACATTGCTAAAAAACAAAAGCAAATAAAACATGCAGGATTAAAAAACAATAATTATAAAGTGCAATTTTGTCATAAGAGATCATTTTATTTTTGTTTTAATACATACTAAAGCATGTCAATCTAGATAAAAATGAGAAGCATTCTGAAATAAAACACATTTTTTATGTATTTGGATTAATTTTATTTTTATTTTACTAACATTCACTTTTAGTTTAAAGTTAAGTTATTGTAAAAGCACTATAACTCAGAGTTTAATCATTTTATTTTAGAAAATTTAGTACATTGTATTAATTAAACATTTCCTTGGCAAACATCTGAAACAAAACACATTTCAATGTATTTGCTTTCAGTTAATATTACTTCAAAGTAACAAAAAATTGTTTTAGTTTTAGTAAATTATCATAATTTAAAAGACAAAAGCAAATAAAAACATGCAGGATTACAAAATAATAATTAAAATATGCCTGAAAAAAACAAAAACAAAAAAACAGCTGAATTCAAATCATCAGGAAAAATGTGTTATTGGATAACGTGTTGGCTTTTTATACTGTAGACTAGCACACAAGTGTTAATAATGTGCAGTGTGTATGTGTGTGTACAGGTTCAGCTTTTCTTGCGAGGGCTCAAGTGTCCTCATTTATATAATGAGATACCTGCATCAAAATGACCTAATAGTGAGGATATTTCACTAATTAAAAGTGTTAAAAAATCAGCCAGAACATGTTTTAATAGTATCTAATGATGTGCACTTGTTTCTGGGAGGCTTGGGCTATAGACAGTTTCATTAATCTGATATAAAAACAATTAAAGTCTAGGTAATGTCCTCACTAAGATAGTGAAACAAACCTCTGTGTGTGTGTATGTGAGGGTGATTCATCTCAGCGACGGGCAGCAGAAGCCCAGAGAGAGCAGAAATGCAGACGCAAGCAAAAGTCTCACACACTCCTGATAGATTGATGAAGAGATACGGGCCATGCACCACTACACACACCGCATCCACACACACTGGCCGCCCACCACAATGCTTTGCTTAGCAGGCAATTAATAGTGACTGTTTAGGCACGTAATAATGAGCGTTTGCTTTGCAATTACAAAAATCAAGGGCGTATTCATAATAACTATGCCTTAAAATATTCACCTTACAGCTCAAACTGAATGACAGTGAAGGGAGCAATATAATTTGCATTTATAAATAGACTTTAGTTAAAATATTTGATGAATAAACATACAAAGCAAAACAAAAAAAAGGCTAATTACACTGTAAAAAGCGAGTAGCTGATTTTACTTTAAAAGCAACAAGTTTAAGTGATTAGTTGACTTAAAGCGAGTAAAAATGTTGCCGTAAAATTAAAATTGACTATGTGCATAATTATAAAATGTAATCAATTTAACAGTTGTTACTATGGGTTAACTCACCTTTTAGTTGAGTAAAAATAACTTGACGATTTTAAGGCAACAGGTTTTCTCTTTTATATTGAAGTAAATTAACGTATCACTTTTTACAGTGCACTAACCTTTTTCTAGCAGAATTATGTGTTGAAAATACTATTTTAATGTGGTTTACTGTTTATATGTTTTTATATATCAACCATTGTTTTAATAAATTTTCGCCTCTAAATCATAAATAAATTAATTCTTCAGGAGGCAAATAATATTGACCTTAGCACTTTTTAAATTAAAAAATAAATAAATATATATATATAAATAAATTATGAAAAAAAAAAATATATGAATAAATTGTAAATAAATGAAAAATATTAATAAAATAAGTACAACTAATAAGTAAATACATATGAATTAAATACAAAAAAGTCTATAAATAAAAATAAATATTCCAGCATTGAAGAGAGAATTATATTATAAAAGACTGAAAATTTTCCTTAATCTGTTAAACATCACTTTTATATTCATCACTTATATTTGAAAAAAGTAATATATGATATTAGTAAATGTCATATGAGGGCTAACAATGTAAATTGTAGACAGGCAAGTAAATAAACTTATCGCTTTTTACAGTGTACTAAGAGTTTTAAAAATAGAGTTTTAAAAAAATACAGTTTTCATACTGTTTTTATACAATAAATTAAATTAACATAATTCATTTATTAAATTTATAACAAGATTACATAAACATTTTTAAATTAATTTCCATAAATATTATTGACCATGGCACATTTTTATTATTTTTTTTATTTTTTATGATTATTTTATTTATTTTTTACTTAATTTTTTTATTTTTATTTTTATTTTTTTTTTCCAGCATAGAAGAGAGGGGAAATATAATAGAAAATACTGTGAAATTTTTATTTGATCAGTTAAACATCACTTATTTTCATCACTTTTGAATTAAAAAAAAAAATTAATTAAATAAAATCAAAGTATTACATTATATTTATACATATTTTTTTGTGACAAAACTATTAG